GCGCGCTCAGGTTCTAGCCCAGGCCGGGGGCGCGCTAGAAGATCTTGGACAGCGCTATCAAGCACAGGCGCGTGACATAATCGTGCCTCCTGAGGGCCTCGTGGGAACCTCTTGGGTCTGAAGGGGGGCATCTGAAGGGCTTCTGGGGGGTTCTCCGTGCTTCCTCAATTGGCTGTTGGAGGCACCTCGTGAGTGATTCTCGGGGGGCATCATCTTGGGGCTTCTTGGGGTCCCTTGGGGGCATCGTCAGGGTTCTCCGGGTAGTCGGAAAGTGATGTTCTGCAGTCTGAAGCAGTCAGTTGGCCGTTTTGGCTGCGTGGAGGCCCGGCTTGAGGCCACATTGGGGCAATCCGAAAGCCTCCCGGAGCCTCCTTGAAGTAATTTTCATGCATCGAGAGCACTGTTCGGCTATCTTGGGGCCCCGTGTACGTCTCCTGTGAACCTTTTGGGGCCTGGTGCGGGGCTCTGGGGGGCCTCGTCGGACCACTTGGGGACTCTTGGGGCCTCCTGTGGGCCTCCTAGGGCGGAAAGCTCTGCTGTTGGGTTCGCGTTCCCCTTCTTGGGGCTCTCTTGGGGCCCTCTTCGGGCCCTCTCGGGCCGTCTTTGGCGCCTCGGGCACCGTCTTGGGGCCCTCGTGGGCCGTCTTGGGGCCCTCTTGGAGGCTTCTTCTGCTATTTTGGAGCGGTCTTGGGGGCCACTTGGGCCGTCTTGGAGCTTCGGGATGCCAAAAGGCCGGGAACTCTAAAATCCATGAAAAGCCGATGGGAAAACAATGCTTCTTGGGAGCTCTTCGGCCTTCTGGGGAGCTTCTTGAGGGCCTCTTGGGTCCCATGTGGGGGCCTCTGGGGCTTCCTGAGAGCCTCTCGGGGTGGAAGGCTCGGATTTTCGGTTCGTCTTACCCATCTTGGGCCCCCCTTGGGATCGTATTGGTGCCCTCTCGGGCTGTCTTGGGAGGCCTCTTGGGCTATCTTGGATTGGTCTTGGCGGCCTTTTGGGCCGTCTTGGAGCGTCAGGACGCCAAAAGGCTGAAAACTCTAACATCAATCAAAAACCTATGGCAAGACATGGATTTTTGTCTCTTGGAGCCTTCGTGGGAGGCCTCTTGGATACTCTTCGGCCCCCTGGGGGGCTTCTAGGGGTCCCTTGGAGCCTGTTAGGGGCTTCTCGGGGCCTCCTGAGAGCCTCTCGGGGTGGAAGACTCGGATTTTCTGTTCGTGTCAACCATCTTGGCTCCATCTTGGGGCCGTCTTGGGGCCCTCTCGGGCCGCCTTGGGCGCCTCTGGCGCCGTCTTGGGACCCCCGTGGGCTGTCTTGTGACCGTCTTCGAGGCCTCTGGGGATGCCTTGGAGCGGAAATTGAACAGGAAACTCAAAAGGCGAGAACTCGAAAATCGATCAAAAACCAAAGGAAAACAAATTAGTTGTGCCTCCTGGGGCTCCCTGGGAGCCATCTTGGAGACCTCTTGGGGCGTCTTGGAGGCCTCCTGGACAGTCAGGGACCAATTCTGGGGTGATCTCGGGCGGTCATTGGTCGTTTTCGTTGTCTGGAAACGCCATTTCTGGCAGTCCAGGGCCGTCTTCGGGCGACTTTGCAAGGCACCCAGCGCCACGGGAGGGCCCCAGGCCCCCCGGTGCGAGTGTCCCGTCCTGGGCCCCGCCCCGTGCCCGCGGCAGGGCGTCTTTGGACCGTCTCGGCGCCCTCGTGGGGGCCTGTTGGGGCGACACTGGGTGTCTGAACTCCATCAAAAACCGAAGGGCAATCAGTGATGTTGGCATCCCTTTGGGCCGTGTTGGAAGCCGTGTGGGCCGTCAGGAGGCCATCTTGGGCGTGTTCGCACGATATGTCCTCTTTTCGGAGCCTCTTGGGGGCCTCGTGCGGCCCTTTTCGTCTGTGTTGGGGCTTTCTTGGGCCGTCTGGGGGCGGCCCTGGGCTGTCTCGGCGCCCTCTTGGAAGCTTGTTTGGAAGATTTCTGGGTGTCCTGGGCCGTCCTCCTTCAACGTTGGCGGCACTGGCCGTGAGACTTCTTGGGAACATGATTTGTTGGGGTGTCGTTGGGCGCCTCCAGAGGCTTCGGGGCCTGACACGTTTCCGAGCGTGGCGGCAGGTAGCGCTGCTTGTCAGAGCGTGAATTACCTACCCCGCTTTTGCTTCCAGGCAAAACCAAGTCATATCACGCGCCTCCTCGTCAAGCGGCCTGACCAGTACAGGCCGTAGTTTGGCATCGCTTGGTATCTCTTGGAAGCGAGGGTGGTCAAAAGCGAGGTAGGTTTGTTTGCCCCCTAGCTTGGGACTCTCGTTTTTTATCCTGGCAGGCGTTTAGGGAACATGTTTTTGGGAGAGTGCGGCAACCCGAGAATCATGTTCCCGGGAAGCTTTCTGGGAGCATGATCTGTTCGGCTCTCTTAAGAGGGGGGCCTTTGGGGGCTTACCGAGGGGCCCGTTTTGGCCTTGTCGGCAAGCCTATTGGAAACATGGTTGGGGCAGTGGGCGGAAGCCCAAGGAATCATGTTCCCGGAAAGCATTGGGAAATACGATTTACCGAGGTCTCTTGGGGGCCCGCCGGGGGCTTCCCTGGGGGCCCCTTGGGGGCTTATTGGGGTTTCCGCGGGGCCTCTTGGGAGCCTCACGGGGCTTCTTGGGCGCCTCTTGATTCTTGATGGCCTCCGGGGGCGTCCTAGGAGCCTCTCAGGCTGGAGACCTTGAAATGTCGCGCTCTTCGGGCCCTCTTGGGTCGCTCTTGGGGCTCTCTTGGGACGCTCTCGAGGCCCTCTTGAATTATCTGGGGAGCTTCCTGGGCCGTCTCTTGTCTTTCTTGGGAGCCTCTTCGGTCGTCTTGGAGCGATCCGAAGAGCCTCTGACACGTCCGGGACCGTGGGGAGGCCGAAAATGCGAGAGCGCAAACATGCGGGGCCCTTTGGAGGGGCCTCTGGAGGCGCTCTTGGGGCGTTTTGGCGGCGTGTCGGCCGTCCTGAGACCATCTTCGGCGTGTCTGGGGCCTCTTGGGGCTGTCTTGGCAATCTTTAGGGCCCTCTTGGCGTGTCGTGGAGTGTTTAGGAGCGGGCCCGGGCCCGGGCAGTCCCGGGAGCCCTGGGGGCTGTTGAATGCTAGGTGCTGTCTTGGAGGCGGAGGCGAGTGCTACGCGGAAGGCGGGCGAGCGGCCGGACGGGCGGCGGGCGGACGGGTGGCGGGCGGGCGGGCGGGCGGGTCGGGATTTGAATGAATTCCTTAAGGGTGCTTTCTTGCAGCGGGAGCTTGTTGAGTACAGGGTGTTGCCTTGAAGACGGGGGCTGTTGACTACAGGGTGTTGTCTTGGAGACTGAAGCTGTTGAGTACAGAGTGGTGCGTGCTACGCGGACGGCGGTTGGGCGGCGGGTGCCCTAGGTGGTGGGTCAGAGGCCTCATGGGTGTGTGTGATTTCGTGGTTGGCCTGTTGGGGACGTCGTGAAGGCAGTTTCGCAGCTTCTCGGTAGCCGTTTTGGGACCGTTGTGGGGCCTCCTCGGGGCTGTTTTGTAGCCTCTTGAAGCCTCGTTTGGGCCTCCTGGGTGCCTCTCGGGGGCCTCCTGGGGCCTCGTGGGGGCTCCTTGAGGCCTCCTGGGGCACTCTTCAAGCGGGAGGGTCGAATTTTGGAGTCGTGGTCCCCCTCTTGGGCGCATCTTGGGGCCGTCTTGGGGCTCTCTTGCGCTGTCTTGGGCGCCTCTGGGGCCGTCTGGGGGCCCTCTTGGGCCGTCTTGGGGCGCTCTTGGGGGCCTATTGGGTCGTCTTGGAACGTCGGACAGCCGAAAAGGTTGGAAGGCCAACATCTCTCCAAAACCTTCGTAAAATTGACGATTTCGGCCACTTGAAGCGCTCTGGAGAGGCGTCTTGAAGCGTCGTGGAGTGACTTGGGGGGGCCTCTCGGGCCGTCTTGGGCCTATCTTGGGCGTCCAGGAGCGGTCTTTCGGCGACTCGGGGCCCGCTGGGGCCGTCTGGGGAGACTCTGGAGGCCCCCCTGGACTATTTTGGACCTCCCCGGCCGCCCCGTCCTCACATGGGGGGTCGGGGCAGCCGTTTGTGACCCCGGGGCCTGCCCCCCGGGGATGGATAGATGTGTGTATATATATATATATATACACACACACCTTTACATGTACATATACATATACGAATGTGTGTATATATATATATGTATGTATGTGTACTGCTGTGTATATATATATATATATATACACGTAGGTGTATATATATATATACACATATCTGTGTATATACACGTGAAGGTAGACACAAGTGTACATGTGTACGTTTAGTTTATATATCCTTACATATGCATGATCATGCCACCATGCCCAGGTCGTGGGCGAGGGGCATTTTGGATGCCTGCAGGGGTCTTTTCGGATATCTCTCGGGGCTTCTCGGGATGTTTCCCCCGTGGATAGAAGCTATACGACTAAAGCGCTACCCAAGTGGTATCATTTGGGTCATATCGGCTTCTGGAGGGCGTCGGTACTATGTGCCTAGGTTGTGGGGTAGAGGTCGCTTAGATGCCTCTCGGGGTCTCCTGTGTTGCCTCCTGGACTCCTCTAGGGCCTCTTGGCGGCTTCTTGGGGACATGCCTTGACGCCAGCCAGCTGGCGGAGCGGCGCTCCGCTAAAGAGAGCCGAATAAGCTCCGTGGGCTCCCCGGTTAACATAGCTTGAGGCCAATGGACGGAGTTGCGCTCCACTAATGGAAGCCAAGAAGAACGGAACGCATGGCTGGAGGCCATTTAGCGTAGCGGCGCCTCACCAACAGTAATACAGCAATGCTGGGAATTTTGGGTTGTGGTGGCCCTGAACATCTGCCATGCTCCATACAGAGAGCTCAAAGGGGGCTGATGCTATTCCAGATGTTACACTTCATGCCTCGCAGCACGGTGGCGGATAGCGTTCACATTCGCATTGCAATATGGTACATGTGTACACATATATATATATATATATATAAATATAGATAGATGTTCAACCATGGACACTTCGATGGCCATTGTGGCGCAAGGTGAGGTCGTGCGCGTTGTGTCATTGATCTGAGTGAACACACAGTTCCGCAACATTGTTGTCCTACATTCATTCGCGGATGACGATGGAACACAACATCATGGGCAACTTATCGGGGAACGCACGCATTGGGACAGCCATGATGGCAAAGGCGCCGCCATGTGTCGACGGTAGATACCCAGTGGTGGGCCAGCTGGATGTTGCTTCGGCCTTTCCGAGAGAGATTGACGGTGGAGAATTGTCATGTTGGTCTCCTGTTCTGAAGAAGGCCTCTCTCACGTGCGTCACCATGGCCATTCTGAACATCCCGTACACGTATCCCAAGAGCCGGTTGATACATGACATCGACGTGATGGGCTTGCCGTACAGTGATTTCCATTATCCGGCTGACCGCAAGAGTAAAAACCGGAGTCGAGGGTTTGCGTTCGTCAAATTCACTACGTTCGAGGCTGCGGACACGTTCCAGAAACTATTCCATAACCGTGTTCTCTCGGACCCTGGGAGCCCAGCGAGGAATGTCAGCGTCTTGCCCTCTGAATCGTCCACCACTGGCCAGAAGCTTCTGGGAGATTGTGCTGATTCTTGCAGTACCACGGCCAGCTGGGAACCCGAGCGCTGGCCGCTGCAGCGGACGGCCGCTCCGCCAGGCCTCCATCACAGGTGGCGTACCTCGGAGAACCAGGGCAAGGGCAGCGCAGGCCTATCGGATTCGTCCAACATGGAGCACTTGGGAGACGATGCCGATTCCTGCAGTGCTCTTTCGGAACCCGAGCGTTGGCCGCTACAGTGTGTGGCGGCACCGCCAGGCCTCCATCACAGGTGGCATGCCGCGGAGAACCAGGACAAGGGCAGCGTGGGTCTATCTGTGTCGTATGCCGCTTCTGGCCAGCAGCGCCTTGGGAGTCATGCCGATGAGTGCGGTGTTGGCTCTGAATCCGAGCGTTGGCCAGCGCAGCGGTTGGCCGCACCGCCAGGCCTTCATCACGCGTGGTATGCTTCGAAGAACCAGAGTAATTGCGTCGTGGGTCGCTCTGGGTCCTATACCTCTAGCCAGCAGCGCCTTGCGAGTCATGCCGATGACTGCGGTGCTGGCTCGGAGCTCGAGCGTTGGTCGATGCAGCGGTTGGCCGCGCCGCCAGGCGTCCATCACAGGTGCCATGCCCCGAACAACCAGAGCAATGGTATCGTGGATCGTTTGGCCAGTTCAGTCCCACTTTCGATCTTTGAAGATGGGACGGTGGTGCTCCAGAGGTTCTCAGTGTGAGAGGCCGGGAGGGGGGAGAGGTAAGCCCGACTTTACTTAGAGCCACTTGGGCCGTGCACAAGCTGCGCAGTGAAACCTGCACGGCTGCGGCAAGTCTGCCCCACACTGGGTGCGTCTTGGCCGATTCGCTTATTGGCAGCTACTCTCCAAGGGGAAGGCGAGCTTGTAAGCAGTTTTTGTTCGAGCCGCGCGTGGGCGGCACTGTGCGTCCTCGGTGTCGCAGAAAGTTGCCCCCCATTCGGAGAGGCCCGACTTGCCTGCACATCTTCTCCCTGCGGACATCGGAGGCAGCGAAGCAGCAAACGTTGCCGCGTTTGTCAGAGTGAAGGGGCCGATTTGTCTTACACTATCCCAAGGTGTGTGGGTAAAGTGGGGGTCCGTGTCCCGGATTCTGCTTGTGTGGTGTTCGTCGTCGTCGGTTTTTGTTGTTGGTGATTTTTGGTTGTTAGTGTTGTTGTTGTTGTTGTTGTTGTTGTTGTTGTTGTTGTTGTTGTTGTTGTTGTTGTTGTTGTTGTGAAGTCTTTAGTTGCTTTCGACCCATCTCGCCACTGTGCCTCGATTGTGGCTCAGAGTTCTCAGGGATGTTTCTTCGGGGCGCTCTCGGGGGCCCCTTGGGAGCAGTTTTGGGGCCTCTTGGGATCCTCTTAAGAGCTTCCCGGGGCCTCTTGGGAGCCAGCCTCTTGGGGCCTCGTGGGAGCATCTTCGGGGCCTCTTGGGGCCTCCTGGGGGACCCTCGGAGCCGAGGGCTCGAAATGTCCGCTCGGGTTCCCCATCTGGACCTCCTCTCGGGGCAGTCTTTGTGCCCTCTTGGGCCGTCCTGGGCGCCTCTTGGGGCCCTTTGGGGCCGTCTTGGGGCCATATTGGGGGTCTCTGGGGCCGTTTGGGGCGATCTTGGAGGCCTCGTAGGCCATCTTGGAGCGTCGCAAAGCCGAAACTGCGAGAAGGCCAAAAACCTTCAAACACCAAAGGAACATCAATGACTTGTGCCACTTGGGGCCCTCTTGGGACGCCTCTTGGAACACTCCTGGGGCGTCTTCGGGGCCTCTTGGGCCATGTTGAGGCCGTCTTGGGCGTATTGGGGCACCTTTGGGCCTTCTCGGAGGCATCTTCGGCCCTCCTGGGCGCTTTTTGGGCCCATGTTTTGCCAGCTGCGCTACTGGAAGACGCGCGCGACACGCTCGGGAAGTCCGAGGGAATCCTCGGAAGTCCCCAGGAATCCCCAGAAGTGTGTGTCGACCTTTTCACACCTTTTAAGGCCCTGCAACTCTGAACTTCTCAGGGCTGCATGAGCCTTGGGGCACTCCACTACGTGCTGCAGGCACGTGCGCGTTGGCGAATTGCTTAGTAGACAAGAAAGGATTGTTATTGTTGGAACCCCTGATCCGCTCCGACGTTCTCGCCTCGGCATCAGTTGCATGCCCTTTGAACTTGAGGCGCACACTCAGACGTTTCGGGGATGCGCCCAATCTGGCCCCCCACCACCACCAACAACAACAACAACAGACACAGCAACAACAGCAGCAACAACAACCGCAGCAGCAGCAACAACAATACGTTTGACATTGTCCGCTCTTATCTGCCCGCGTGCCATTCGACTCGTAAATCCCCAACCCTCGATACCCGCCCTCTTCGTCTACGATCGTACCCCCTGGGGATATATCTTCCTCAACTGCCACGCGCATGTAGCGCAGCCCCTCGAGCAGGGGAAAGAGGACGGAGGGGGAAGGAGAAGGATGGTGCACGAGAGAGATTGGCACGCGGGTGGCTAGGAACAAAAAACGCGTGGCATAACCAGACGGGCCGACTCTGCGAGAAGAGCCTGACGGGCGGGTCGGGAAGGCAAGGGCGCCCTCGAGGGCGCGAAGTTATTCGCGCTTCGCGGTTCGGCTCCGATTCATCGTCCTCATCTTCTCCCCTGGGAGGCGGCGCGAGAGCGCGAAGTTATTCACACTTCGCGCTTCGCGCAGCGCGAAGCGGGAAGTTGGGAGCCTTTGGGAAGGCCTGCTCGGGCGGCCAGGTCAAGCAGGCGGGTTGTTGAAGTGTGCGTCTTGCATGAACCGCGAGGAAGTCTCGAGAGAAAGCGCGATTCCCAAGTGAATCGTAAGGAAAGCCACAGCGAGAGTGTGATTCCAGAGTGTCGAGGGCGCGGCGTCGGAATCACGTGCGAGGCAGTCCCACGCGAGAGCGCGATGTAGGAATACATGGTAAATTGCGAGCATGTATCGGGCGGGAGCAGTTGTTGCTTTAATACGGGAGCCAGGCGCACAGTTTGGTGGCCCATCGTCTCCCCTTGCGAAAAAAGGGCGCGAGCCCTGGGAGGAACACTCTAATTGAAAAATATAATGATTACCGCAGGGTGGATCAACAATAATTCTTGTTTTGGAACGGTTCTACAACACCACCAACAACAGCAACGGCGACAACAATAACAACAACAACAACAACAATCATTTCACCCGAACGCGTGGTGTTCTCCCCAGTGCCAGGGTTTTCATACGACACCAGGCAATACCCCCACTTCGTGGGGGGGCATTACAAGCTCTACCAAATATCCAAACGACTCTTCGCGACCACCCAAACCCAGCTTCCCGCCCTATGACGTTGGGACACTTCACTTCGTGGCGTGCGGACGACCGTGGCTACTACACTGGCGTGGGGTACACACCCACAGAACTTGGTCACTTATTCGGGGCGCGCATGTGCCCAGCATGGTGCAATTGTGCCATACAATACATAATACAGAGAGACAGAGAGAGAGACAGAGAGCAGACAGAGAGAGAGACAGAGAGAGCGGAGTTGGTCACATTTTTGGGTCAAGTTCCTGGGATGATGGGAATACACAACTCTGTTACATTTGATAGTGTGCACGACACACATGGTTTTTGGAGATTTCGGCGTGCGCGCGCGAAGAAAAAACGAATGTGTCCCGCATGGTATTATTTGACAGGGATGATGGCCCTGGCAGGTGCGCAACCGTTGTCGCAGAAGTTCGAAAAAGTTGCTCGCAAAAGCCCGTTTGACAGAAATGTTTAAAAAGTGTTGGGTTTCCTACGAATCCGCAAGAGCGCGCGGGATGAGATTTTGACATTTTTTTGTTGAAAAACCATTGGTTTTTTGATGTTTTTATGTTAAAATCGCTCCGAACACTAAGCTTTTGGAAGGATTTCGTCTTGCGCGCGCGAATGTCCACTTTACCTTATTTTTTGCAAGGGATTCTTGAAATTTGATTATATTAGAACAAGAAATGTCATTTTATAGTGTTTTTTGCAAGGGAAAGCGGGGGGGAACAAAAAACCGGATCCGGTGACAATCCACTTTTCTGAAGCTTTCGCTAGAAAATGAAGGAAATGAGGCTGCGGCCTAGGTTTTGGAGGGGGGTCGCGCACCAGGGGTCTCAACAATAATATTTCTTTAGAAGTAATAATATTCAACAACAACAACAACGACACCAACACCAACAACAACAACCTCAGCCGCAGCAACAGCAGCAACACGAACAAACATTCTTAGGCCGTTAACTCCTATATCCTCGCGTGCGGATGCCAAACCCTCGGTATTTGCCCTTTTCGTCTTCGAACGTACCCCATTGGGGATCTATCTTCCTTACCTGCCACGCTTATTCCGCGCAGCTCCTTCAAACAGGAGAAGAGAGGAAGGATGGAAGGGGGAGGGAGAAGGGTGGAACACGAGAGAAATTTGCAGGAGGGGGGTTAGGAGATAGGGGACCAAACCACGTGGTAAAACCAGACGGGCCGATCGAAATCATGTTCACATTGTTCGCTCTTGTTTGCTCGCCTGTCAATTTTCACGTATATCCCACACCCTCGGAAACCTCCTCTTCGTCTTCGATCGTACTCCCGCTTGAGGGGGTATATCTCCATACCTGCCGCGTGCAGTTGGCGCAACCCCTAAAACAGGGGAAGGATGGGAGGAGCGAAGAGGTAATTGGGGAAGGCGAAGGATGGAGCGCGAGAGAACTTTGCAGGAGGATGGTCAGGAGCAGCAGCACAAGCGGCAGAACCAGTCTGGCGTGTCAGACGTGTGGACCCTATCGGGCATTCTGGGCGGGCGGGTACCTCCAGGAAGGAAGTTTCGAGCGATAGCGTGATTCCCTAGTAAACCGTTAGGACATCTAAAGCGAAACAGTGATCTGTGAGTCTTAGTGGCACGCTGCCACACTAAATGATAAGGAAGTACCACACGAGAGCGCGATTCCTGAGCAACGTTATGAGGAAGACCCGCGTGAAAGCGCGATTTGAAATACATTGTGAGACAGTGTCACACGGGAGCCGCTGTTGAACTCTCACGACTGAAGATTAATCATTGTTGATCCCCCCCTCCGGTGACCATTGTTCCTTCAATTAGAGTTCCCTCCGGGGCTCGCACCCTCGTCTTATCAGGGAAACCACTCGGCTCAAACTGATTTATCAGGGGAAATGCTGGTTTACAACAGCAACAACGGCTCCCGCCGGATTCTTCCTCACAATGTATTCTGAAATCGTGCTCTCTCGCGGGACTTCCTCAGAGTTTGTATTGTATAGGAATCGCGCTCTCGCGCGTGGGACTTCCCCGCAGTTTATTCAGACGATGCGCCCTCGGCGTTCTGGAATCACGCTCTCGCTTTGGTTGTTCTCACGATTTACTTGGGAATCGCGCTATCGCTCGAGACTTCTCGCGATTCATGCAGGACCCACGCTTCAGCAACACGCCTGCTCGACCTGGTCGCCTGGGCCCGCCTTCCCGACCTGCCCGCTATGTGTCTGCCCTCCCGATTTGCCCATATGGTTTTACCACTCGTTTTGTGTTCATTGCCGCCCTCCTGCTCATATCTCTCGTGCTCCAATCTTCTCCCTCCCCCTTTCCACCCATCTTCGCTTCCCGTGTTTGAGGGGTTGCATGAAGTGCACGTGGCAGGTAAGGAAGATATACCCCAAAGGGGGTACGATCGAAGACGACGAGGGCGGGGCGGGTACCGAGGGTTGGGATATACGTAATTATTGATTGGCATGTGAGCAGATGGGGGCGAACAATATTAAACTGCTGATTGTTGTTGTTGTTGCTGCTGCTGTTGTTACTGTAAACGGCGGCCCTGGGGCCAATTTGGTGACCACGAACTTTCGCTCATCAAAGAACAAGGCGCTAGCCCTGGGATGAGCATTTAAGTTGAAAAATAGAATGGCCACCGAGGGTAACAACAATTCTTCATACATGCGAATTCAGCAACAACAGCAACAATAGTTTAAAGTCTGTTCACTCTTATCTGCTCGCGGGCCACTCAACAGGTATATCCCGGACCCTCGATACCCCCCTCTTTGTTTGATGTTGCTTTCAACGTGTAGTTCGCGCAGCCCCCCAAGGCACTGGAAGAGAGGACGGATGGAAGGAGGGGACGTGGGGGAGGGGATGGAGCACGAGAGAGAGACTCGCAGGAGGGGAGCTAGGAGCAGAACGCAGGTGGCAGAACGCAGACCGCAAGCGGGCCGATCGGGTGGGTGGGCCGTAGCGGGCGTGTCGAGAAGGCGGGCCCAGGCGGCCAGGTCGAGCAGGCAGGTTGTTGAATCTTTCCTCCTGCATGTATCGCGAGCGATAGCGCGATTCCCAAATAAATCGTGAGCAAATCCACAGCGAGAGCTTGATTCCTGAGTGTCGAGGGCGAGGCGTCTGAATACATTGTGATGGAGTCCCGCGCGAAAGCGCGATTTGGGAATACATGGTGAGGAAATCTCAGACGGGAACAGCTGTTGTTGTAAACCGGGGGCCAGGGCCTCGGTTTGGTGACCTTTTTCTATCCCTTGTTAAAATACAACAAGGCTGCGAGCCCTAGGAGAAGCATTCTAATTGAACGAGATACAACGGCTACCGCGCAGGAGAACTCAACATTGTTTAACAAAATAAACATTCGACAACTACTACTACTACTACTACTACTACTACTACTAATAAATATAATACTGCTACTACTACGGCTACTACAACTACTACTACTACTACTACTACTACTACTACTACTACCACTATTACTACTACCACGACTACTAATAGTACGACTACTACTACTACTACTACTACTACTACTACTACTACTACTACTACTACTACTATTTCCACTATTACTACTTATACCACTACTACTACTACTACCACCACCACCACTACCACTACTACTACTACTGCTACTACTACTACTACTACTACTACTACTACTACTACTACTACTACGACTACTACTACTACTACTACTACCCTGCTACTATTACGACTACGACTACGACTACGACCATTACTACTTTTACAACTACTACTACTACTACCACTACTACTACTACTACTACTACTATTACTACTACTTCTACTACTACTGCTACTACTACTACTACTACTACTACTACTACTAATATTACTACTACTGCTACTACTATTACTACTACGACTACTATTACAGCTCTCATTTCTACTACAACTACAGCTCCGACGCTAGTTTAAAGTTGTCCGCTACTATCTGGCCGCGTGGCATTCAGCACGTTTACCCGAACACCTCGATACCCGCCTTTGTCCGTCTTCGAATGTACACCCTTGGTGGTACATGTTCGTTTACCTGCCACGCGCGAAGGACAGAGGGAAAAGTGAAGAGAGGACAGAGGAAAGGGGCAAGGACAAGGATGGACCACGAAAGAAATTAGCAGGGGGTGGGCTAGGAAGAGAAAACACGTGGCAGAATCATCGGGCAGATCGGGTGGGCAGACCCCAGCGGGCGGGTCGGGAAGGCGGGCCCAGGCGGCCAGGTCGAACGCGCGGGTTATTGAAGCGTGAGTCTTGCATCGAAAGCGAGGGAGGCTCGAGCCATATCGCGATTCCCAAGTAACTCGTGCGAGAGGCCAAAACGAGAGCGTGATACCTGAATGTCGAGGGAGCGGCGTTTGAACTACTTGCAACGCGTTTGGCATACCTCTCACACGCTTCGCGGCTCCTTGGGGGGCCTTACCGAAGGCCGCAGTAGCAGGAATCAGATGCGTCCCCCCGCCCATGCTGGCACACCCCTCACACGCTTCTTGGTTCAACGGGGAGTTCCACCGAATGCCACATTTGCAGGAATCGCATGCGCCTCCATGCAACGATTGGCGCGCGCACACACGCACACACACACACACACACACACACTCCTCACAGGCTTCGCGCCACCATAGGGAGCTCCACCGAAGGCCGCGATGGCAGGACTCACATGCGCCCCCACCCCTTTCTAGCACACCCTCACGCTTCTTGATTCAACAGGGAACTCCACGGAAGGCCGCAGTGGCAGGAGTCGCATGCGTTCCCCCCGCCCTTTGTGGAGCACCCCTCACACTTCTCGCGGCCCCATGGGGAGCCTCACCGAAGGCCGCAGTAGCAGGAATCACATGCGCCCCCCCCGCCAATGGTGGGACACCCCTCACACGCTTCTTTTGGTTCAACGGGGAGCTCCTCCGAATGCCACAGCGGCAGGAGTCACATGCGCCTTCATGCAGTTGCTAACACACACTTCACGTGCGTCCCCAGGCGGATTTGGGCACTCCCTTGGCACATTTAGTGGCCTCATCACAGGGAGCCCCACCGAAGTGCCATGTGGCAGGATTCGCGGCCGCGTGGCTACTTCGGCACAACCCTCACGCGCGGCCCCACGGGGAGCTGGACCGAAGGATCCCGGCATGCGCCCCCCGCCCTGCGTTGCCTCCTCATTCCGCCGGTTGCTCCTGCCCGCGCTGTTCTGGTCTCCTCCTTCCTGCGGCGAGCTGCATCTGGGGGCAGAGGCTTTGCCCAACGCCACCCGCAGCAAGTTCGCAGCGGCAGACGGTTGGGTCCTTCGCCAGGCCGATTACCTTAGAGTGGTGCTTCCCACCCTGGGTCCGCAAAGCAGCCCCTCCACAGCAGCGTCACTCCCGCTTGACAAATGGTGGAGCCCTCGTCGCGGCATCGCCTCTGGAGGGCCCCTGGGCGGCCCCCGGAAGGTTCCGAAAGGCCCCTGCGGAGGCGCAACAGGGGTCCCGAAGAGCCGCCAGTAAACATGCACGGGCGCCCCAAGAGGCCCTAGGCCGGCCCAAAACGGTACAAAGAAGGCCCCACACGTGTGAATCGTAGGTGGTCAAGTGCCACGTTGGAGGTGTTGGCGACACATTCTCGGGCGGGAGAGGTCCACGGTACACGAAAGAACTCCCCCATCAGGGGGGAAGTTATCATGAAGAATGCATGTTGCATATAGAGTGGCTGGACATTCTGGTCCTGGGCGCAACAAAGAACCACAGCCACAACTAAGTGGATTTTTCGGGCGGAGCCCTCGGGGGAGAACCCACCGACCTTAACATGAGCACTTTAGTTTAGGTTGTGGTCGATTTGGCCGTCCTGGGACGCCACATCGACCACAACCAGTACGAACCTGGTTTCGGTGTTCCGACATTGTTTGGCATGTGCAATAAATCCCCCAGGGTGAGTCTTCGATGTGGTTGTGGTCGCTTGCTGTCCCCGCACTGGTGCAACGATTGTTCCAGTTGTTGTTGTTGTCGTCCCCCCCGTGACCCCCCTGCGATCCACCCGCGAGCCACCCCCCGACCTTCCCCGCGACCTCCCCCGCGACCCACCGACCCATCCTGCGCCCTCCCTCTCACTCGCATCCGCAATTTCGGGGTGCTGCGCAGCATCTTCAACGTGATGTTTGCGGCGGGGGGCTGGTGGGGGCCAGGGCAGGACCTAAACGGTGTTTTGGCGATTTCGCGGGCTGTGTTCGTTCCGATTTCGTTTTGCTGTAAAGGCGGATTGAAGACAAAACGAGGGACACCGAACACACAACGAAAACGAAAAACATCGTTTAGGTTCAGCCTTGATGGGGGGCTCTCTACTGTGCGCATCTGTGGGGGCGAAAGTAACATGAATTATCAGGTCGTAGAAAGAACCATACGATTTGAGTTGACGTGAGAGGCGATCATGTCTGGCTCCGATGCGCCCTGTGCCTAGATGTTGTCGGACGTTCCTTCATGTTCAATGTTCTGCCCGTCATCTGCAAGTTTTTATGCAGTATCGGATTTGTAGTCCTGCATCGTACGCAGCACTATCTTCCCACAATTCGCCTTGCGTTAAACGCATGGGTCTTGCGTTGCCAGCTCCACCTGGTCCCCTGTTTGCAGCCTTCGGTGTCCCTGCGGGTTGTCGTTGAGGACGCCTATGGCGAACCACCGCCGCCCCCTGCCTCTTTGACACGCCTATGCGACCAATCCTGGGCAGACGCCTTAACAAGGTATTGTACTACGTGTTCTCCCAGCGGTTGTAGAACCCCTCGGGGAACACGTCTGAGAGGAAAGGAGGGTATCTGGGGCTTCCAGGGTCGTCTTAGGCCGTCGGAAGTCTTAACCATCGCAAGCGGCCCACCATTTTTCCAACACCAATTTCACATTAATTGGCCTGGCGAAGGACCCAACCACCTGCAGTTGCGAATAACGTAAGATATGAACCTCTCGTCGGCAGCGTGCCGCGGGAAGGATGGGGCACAGGACATGCGGATAGGGGGCTACGAAACGTGCAAGGGTTGCCGAACTATGGGTTGAGGGACACGTGCGAACCTTGCTACAGGAGCCCTCGGTAGAGCCCCTTGCGGGGCCATAAGCGCGTGAGGGGGACGCATGCTGACTCTGCCACGGGAGCCTTCGGTGGAGCTCTCTATGGAGTCACGACACGTTGTGAGGGGTGTGCGGGAAATCAGCCGGGGGAGGCATGCGGACTTTGCCACAGGAGCCCTCGGCAGAGCGATCGCCCTCGGAGGCCACGAAATGTGTGAGGGGTGTGCCGAAGCAGGCTGGGCGACGCAGGCAGTCCCTACCCACAGGAGCCTTCGATGGAGCTCCCGTTTGAGGCCACGAAGCGTGCGAGGGGTGCGCCGACATGGCCTGGGGGACTCATGCGGACCCTGCCGCGGGAGCCTTCGGTGGAGCTCCCTTTGGGGTCGCGAAACGTGTGAGGGGTGTGCGGGAAGTGGGCTGGGGGAGGCGTGCGGCCCTCGCCATGCTATGCCCTCGGTGGAGCGCCATATGGAGCCACGAAGCGTGAGGGGTGCGCCGAAGTGGGCTGGGGTACGCATGCGGACGCTGCCGCAATAACGTTCGGTGGAGCTCCTTGCGGGGCCACGAAGCGTGTGAGGGGTGCGCCGAAATGGGCTTGGGGAACGCATGCGGACCTGGCAACAGGAGACCTCGGTGGAGCTCCTCAATGAGCCACGTAACATGTGCGGGGTGGAAGAAGGGCCGGGGCACGCATGCGGACCCTGCAACGGAAGCCCTCGGTGGAGCTCCTTGTAGGGCCACGAATCGTGCGAGGGGTACGCCGAAATGGGCCGGGGGACGCATGCGGACCTTGCCACAGGACCCTTCGGTGGAGCTCCTTATGGGGCCACGAAGCGTACGAGGGGTGTGCCGAAATGGCCCGGGAGACGCATGCGGACCCTGCCACAGGGGATCTCGGTGGAGCTCCGTATGGGGCCACGAGGCGTGTGAGAGGTGTGCCGATACGTACATGCGGAGGCTAGAGGCAGGGATGGAGAGGAGGGAGGAGGGGGAGGAGGGGGAGGAGGGAAGAGGAGAGGACGCGGGGCGTTGTCTTTTCAAGCGAAGACCCAATACCATAGGATGATTGGGAATCATTTCAGCCTCTTCGGGCCCTCCAGAGCGCCCTCTTGGAGGTCTCGGGCCACTGAGGTATCTCGGGAGCCTCTGAGGCCATCTTGGAGCAATCGTGGGCCGTCTTGGTGCAATGGCCGTCTTGGTTGCGTCCTGGAGGCCATCTTTCGCGTCTTGGAGGTGTCTGGGGCCGTCTTGGGGCTGTCTTGATGGACTCTCTGGCCGTCTTTCGGCCCTTTTGGAGGTCGCTAGGGCCGTCTTGGGGCCATCCTGGGGACTGAGGCAGTCTTGGGTCGTCGGAAGCCCGGAAAGGAGCGAGTGCCATTGTTCATTCACACAAATGGCGAACCATTAATGTTGATCTCTTCGAGGCCTCCTGGCAGTCCTCGCGGAGGCCCTTTCGACCCTCTTGGGGATCTCTTGTGGACCTGCGGGGCCGTCTAGGGCCAGCTTGAGGCAATCGTGGGCCGAATGGGTGCCAATTTGGCAGTCTGGGAGGCGTAATTCAGAGAGTGAATTACCTAGTAGGTTTGTTTTTCCCTAGTAATGGAGGCCATCTTGGGCGTCTTGGAGGTCTCGTGAGCCCTCTTGGTGCTGTCTTCGGCGCCTATTGACTCTTTGGCCGTCTCGGGACCACCTTGAGGGCTTTTTGGGGGGGCGTCGTGGGTCGTCTTCGGGCCATCTTGGGTGCCTTGGGCTGGCCGGAAGCCCAGAACGGAGCGAACGCCGACCCGCTTCCAACACGAAAGGAGCATAAAACTCCGTAGGCCTCTTGGGGCCCCTCTTGGAGGCTCCTTGGGCCATTTTGACACAGTTTTCTGATTCATTGTGTTGCCGATCGGCGCGGACCATCGCACCACCCTTCCCCTCCTTTGGAGTAGATCTTGGCTGTTCTGTTGGCGCCTGTTTCAAGCAGGTGGAGTCTCCCCCATAGGACGCACTGTTGCAAACAGTCGCATCAAGCAGAGGTCCGAAGCCAGACACCCACCTCCCGCCCCCCTTCCGCCCAATGTCGAATCGCCAAAACAGGAAAACGTTCACTATTTTGATACCATCTTGGCCGTCTCAGAGGTGTCTTGGAGACCAGCTTGTGCGTTTGGGAGGCCCTCTGAGCATCATTGGAGACGCCTTGGACGCAACAAGCCCGTGCCTCTCACTTGTTGTGCGGCCTTCTGGTTGGCCGGCGGGATCAGCCGAGACCCTACTGGGGCCTTTTCTGGAAGTGCAAACACAGTCAAACATTTGGCACGCCACCAGCCCTTCTTGCAGGCAACAGTGGATGGCGGATCTGGTGGCTTTCGGCCCGTCCCGCCACCTTTGCCTCTCACTTGTTGCGGGGCCTTCAGGTTGGCAGGCGGGATCAGCCGAGACCCCACTGGGGCCTGTCTGGAAGGGCAAGCACAATCAAACATCTGGCACGCCAGCAGCCCCGTTTGCAGGCAACAGGGGGTGGCGGATCTGAGCGCTTTCGGCCCGTCCCGCCACCCTTGCCTCCACTTGCTGTGCGGCCTTCGGGTTGGCAGGCGGGATCAGCCTTGTTGCAGGGGCAGACACAGTCAAACATCTGGCACGCCAGCAGCCCCTCTTGCAGGCAACAGGGAGCGGCGGATCGAAGACGCCTACGGCGAATCACCGCCGCCCCCTGCCTTTTTGGAAGCGCCTATGTGGCCGAACGTTGAGGCCAGACCTGCCAAGCTATCGGACCACGTGTTCCCCGAATCGGTTTGGAAAGCCTTCGGGGAACACGTGGGCATCTTGAAGGTCATCTTGGCCGTCTTGGAGGCCTCTTGGGCAAGCTTTGGGCGATCTTTGGGGCTTTTTGGGCCGTCTCGGGCCAGCTTCGAGCCAACTTCGGCCATCTTGGTGGGTTCCTGGCACGTCTGAAGCCGTCGGAAGCCGTTTGGGGGGCCTCTATGGGCCGACTTGGGGCCCGCTTGGAATGCTCCAGGGCCGTCTTGGAGGCCATCTTGGGCGTCTTGGAGGCCATCTTGGGCGTGTTGGAGGCCTCTTGGGCCCTCTTGGGGCCCTCTAGGGGCCATCTTGGAGGCCACTTGGGCCATCATGGGGCTCTCTTGGGGGCCTCTTGGGCGATCTTGGGGGCTTCTTGGGCCGTCTTGAGCCGTCGGAGAGCCGAAAAGGCGCAAATGCCAAAATCCTTCAAAAACCAAGGGAAAATCAATGATTTTGGCCTCTTCGGACTCTCCTGGAGGACCTCTTGGAGGCCTCTTGGGCCGTCTGGGAGGCCTCTGGGGGGCCTCTTGGGCCGTCTTGGGCCGTCTTGGACTCTCTTGGGCCGTTTTGGAGGCCGTCTTGGACCATCTCGGGCGGACTTGGAGGCCATCTTGGGCCATCTTCGCGATTTGTTGAGGATGTCCCGAGCGAAACGGCCGTTTTTGGGCATTGACAGACGCATTTTGGGAAACGCGCGGGTGGCCGGCGGGACGGGCCGAAGCCCATTGGGGAGTTCTTTTAGAAAAAGAACCAAAACCAAAACTGAATCATCCAGCACGCCGTGCACCCCTGCAAGCAGGGGGCGGCGGATCTGGTGGCTTTTCGGCCCGTCCCGCCACCGCATCTTGGTCTTTGTCGGGATGTTTCCTTGATGCCTCTCGGGGCAGCTTGGCGGGCCTCCTGGAGGAGGCCTCTTGGGACCCTCCTGGAGGCCTCGTGGGCGCCTCCTGGATCCTCCTGGAGGCCTCATGTGGAGCGGGGGGCGTCTCGGGTTTGCTTTGGGGGACACAGGCGGTCTGGAGAGCCGCCTCCTCCTCCTCCTCCGAGTCAAGGAACAGGCCAAAGCGGCCGTTTCCCGACGATGAGTTTTGTCGGTTTTGATTGGGCCCTTTTGGAGGGGCCCGTGGCCCCCGGTGCCCTACCAAGTTTTGATTTTTCCCTACCCAGGCTCTGCCTAGAAGGGTTCTTACTCTCTGGGCTTAAAGGGGCCGGGCAGTGGAAAGCGCCCCGGGCGGTTCCCCCAGTATCCGCCCCTCGGTTCCCTCAGTTACGTCCCCTTAGCTTAGCGTTGCTTATCTCATCTTAGCTTAGCTTATTTCATATTAGCTGAGCTTAGCTTCATCTTAGCTCAGGTTTACATTAGCTTAGCTTACCTTCATCTTAGCTTCGCTGAGCTTTAGCATAACAGAGCACATCATAGCATAGCGTAGCATAGCATAGCGCAGCATAGCATATCACAGCATAGCCCAGCATAGCATAGCATCGCGCAGCATAGCATAGCATAGCATAGCATAGCGCAGCACAGCACAGCACAGCATAGCACAGCGCAGCATAGCATAGCATAGCATAGCATAGTATATCATATCATAGCAGCAACACGCAGGCACAGCAACAGCAGACTCTGCCTAGAGGGTTACCTTAGCTTAGCATAGCGCAGCGCTGCATTCGCATAGCATAGCATATCATACCATAGCCAAACATCGCATAGCAAAGCATAGCGCAGCATAGCATAGCATAGCATAGCATATCATAGCATATCATAACATATCATGTCATAGCATAGCGCAGCTTAGCATGGCATATCATATCATACCATAGCTTAGCATAGCACAGCGCAGCATGACATAGCATAGCTTAGCATAGCACATCATAGCATAGCATGTCATAGCGCAGCATATCATATCATAGCATATCATAGCATAGCATAGCATAGCATAGCGCAGCATAGCATAGCATAGCATAGCATAGCATAGCATAGCATAGCATGGCAACTAATGCTGCTTTCCTAGGGGCTCCAACTTCTAGGTAGGGTTGCACTGGGGTAATTTAGTGATGTGCACTGCCCTTCGGGCCTTCCGTTCCGTTCCGTTCCTCCTCCTCCTCCTCCTCTTCGTCTGCGTATTCCTCCTCATTTTCCCCCCTCCCCTTCCTCCTCCTCCTCCTCCTCCTCCTCCTCCTCCTCCTCCTCCTCCTTCCCTTCCTCCTCCTCCTCCTCCTCCTCCTCCTCCTCCTCCTCCTCCTCCTTGAAGTCCTGCTCCTTGAAGTGGGGGGGCTCCAAAGGGCAGTTCGAGTTCCCCCCTCTTGGGCCCCTCCGTTTGAGGGCCTACTGGTCCGCTCCTGGAGGCCTCTGGGGCTGTCTTTCGGGAGGACGAGTGCGGCCGCGTGGTCGGCTGTCGACGTCTGTTCTGTCGCCGAGATCGCGGAGAATGCCGACGTCATAGATAACAATATGATGTACAGTGAGTTCGGCTTCTTATAGTCTAGGCCTCCTAGTAGATGGGGTCGGAGTAGATGGAGTCGGAGATGCCGCTGCATCGCCGATGCATCGGCGATGCGGCTCGATGTGGAGCCCGATGTTCTTCGCGTCGACGTCGCCGATGCATCGCCCACGTCGACGCCTCATCGCCGGTGCATCGCCGATGCATCAATGTATCGCCGATGTATCGGCGATGCGGCGCGGTCCTCCGACCCCATCTACTCCGGCCCCATCTAGGAGCCCTCTATATGGCCAGCCACCAAAAGCTCAAAGACGGTCCAGGAGGGCCGCGAGAGAGTCCCAGGACGATTCTTTGGGAGCGTACTCGAGCATGCTGGCAGATAGGATTCCGAGACGCGCTCCGGAGGGCTCCAGAAAAGCAGTATGAGAAGCCCCGAGCTCCCCAGAAGTGCCCGGGAGCGCTGGGACTTCGGGGGTGTGGGCACCTGACATAGCAACCACTTGCAATAATCACTGTTGGGACTTCGAAGGGAGTTGAAGACACTCCAGTCAGTGCCTCGCGACACGGCGGCGGATTGTTTGTAGTCCTGCGCACGGCAGCGGAGCGTTCACACCTCTGCGCGAAAGCAGCACTACCTGTACCTCCACACGCGAGGCCCAAATTGTTCTCTCTAGCAATTGGTAAGGGTTGTTCCTCGTCTTCTGCTCCAAGGGCGTAAGCGCGAGACGTTGTGCCGCTGCGGGAGACCTGGCACCCAGCCACCTGGCACCCAGCCAGCCCCGCGGGCTGCTGTCGAAGACGCCTGCGGCGAACCAAAGCCCACAGCCGCCCCTTTCTCATGGAAGCGCCTGTGTAAGGGGGTCCAGCGACAGGGGGGTGGTGCAATAGATTTGTGGGGTTGCAATACATCTGGGGCGTGCAATATACACCAGGGCGCAAATGTACTGCTGGATTTTCGCGTGCAAGAGATTATTTGCAATACATTGCAGTATTCTCCGGCGCCATGTATTTGCACTACAATTGCCCCAAGTCTATTGAAACACCCCCTTTCAGCTGGACCCCCTTCTGGGTCACCCAAGTAAGTGGCCAACGTTGTGCCAAAGTCTGGCCACGCTGTCGGACAGAGTGCTACCCCAGCTGTTGTGGACCTTCTCGGGGAGAGCCTGGGAGAGGAAGAGAGATGATGAGGAGGAGGAGGAGGAGCAGGAGGAGGAGGAGGAGGAGGAGCAGGAGGAGGAGGAGGAAGAGGAGGCTTCTTAGAGGACCGTCTTGGGCCTCCTGGTGGTTTTCTGGCGGTCTCTGAGGGGCCTCTAATGAATGATTTCGCGCCGTCTGGGAGGTCTGTGGGTAGCAGTCTCGGGGCCCTCTTGGCCCGTCCCGTAGCCCTTAGGGGAACTTTGGGGCCGTCTTGACACAATAATATTGCAGGCCTCTGGGGTCGTTCTCGATTGTCGGAAGCCCAAGAAGGCGAGACGGCGAAAACCATTGAATCATTTTCTGGGGTCATCTATGATGTGGGCGTCCTGGAGGTCCTCTTGGAGCCCTCTTGGAGCCTCTTGGGGCATCTTGGGAGCTTCCTGGGTTGTCTTGTCTGGAGGGCCCTGTTGGGGTCATGTTCGTCTTGGAGGCGTCTTGGGACCATGTTTGATGCCATCCTGGGCCACGTTGACCATCTTGGATGCCATCCTGGGCCACGTTGTCCATCTGGGGGGCCACTGGGGCTTTCGGTGGAATTCGCTATAGCGACAGGAAACGTTTGAGGGGTCTGCCCAGACGGGTTTGGGGACGCATGTGAACTTTGTCACTGGAACGAGGGGAAGCTTGCCATGGGACCACGAAGCGTGTAATGGATGCGCCGGAATGATGATGACGATGATGACGCTGCTGGGGTAGGATCCCGACGTCCAGAAGGCAGATATGGAGGAGGAAGGGAGAGGGATAGGAGGAGAGTAGATGAAACGAAAACCTTTGGGCGATGCGTGTTCAAAACTAGGGCCCAGCACCACATGCTCATTATGGCTGGGAAAATGCAGCGTGACGGGAACCCCTATGATAAGCCCATGGGCGACTACGACGAATCACCACCGCCACTTGTTTTCTGGAAGCGCTCATGCGTCCCAGCGTTGTGCCGATGTCTGCAAAGGTATTGGACTATGGGTTCCCCGTTGTGGAACCCGTTTTCGGAGTTTGGGGGCGATGCAAAGAAATGAGCAGAGAGGAGGAGGAGGAGGAGGAGGAGGAGGAGGATGAGGAGGAGGAGGAGGAGGAGGAGGAGGAGGCGGAAGCGGAGCGCGGAGGCGGAGGCGGAGGCGGAGGCGGAGCGGAGGCGGAGGCGGAGGCGGAGAAGGAGGAGGAGGAGAGGAGGAGACTGAGGATGAGGAGGAGACTGAGGAGGAGGAGGGGGACAAGGAGGAGGAGGAGGAGGAGGAGGAGGAGGAGGAGGAGAGGATGCCTCTTGAAGCCCTCTTGGGGCCTCCTGAGGGTGGAGGCTTCCCTGGGTGGCCACTTGGGGGCGTCCTGGGGCCTCTCGAGGCTCCTACTGGGGCCTATTGGGGGCCTCTTGGTCGTCGTGGGTCCCCTTGGGTTTTCAGGGCCGTCCTGAACGTCTATGTGGACGTCTTGGAGGCCTTTTGGGTTCTTGGTAGGACCTCCTTGGCCGTCTCGCGGGCCTCTTGCGGGCCTCTTTGCTATGGGGGTTGCCTTGAAACGTCGGAAGCCCGAAAAGGCCAGAACACTAAAGTTATTTATCAGCGCAACGGGCACATCAATGAGTTTTGGCAGTTTGACCTCCTCGATAGCCTCATGGAGGCTTCTTGGGCCGTCTTGGGTGCCTCCTGAGCCGCCTGGAGGCCATCTTGGGCAGTGCTGGGACCGTCTTGGGCCGTCTTTGGGGCAACATGGGCCGTCTTGCAGGCATCTTGGGGCCATCTTGGAGGCATCTTGAGCCATCATCTCCAGCGTGGCCTGCGGATCAGCCCAGACAGAGGTTATTGTAAGAATTTGAAGAGAACGGAACATCCACACGTTCGGAACGCCGTGCACACATGTGACACACCACAGGTGGCGTACGGCGAATCACCACCGCCCCGTGCTTTTTGGAAACGATCATGTGATCAAACGTTGTGCCGAAATCTGGCCAGGCTATTGCTCCATGTGTTCCCACAGCCGTTGTGGAGTCCTTTTGAGGGACCACCCGGGAGAACACGCGAAAGGAAGAGGAGGAGGATGGCGAGGATGACAAGGGTGAGGAGGTGAAGGAGGAGGTCGACGATGAGACGGAGGAGGGCGAGGAGGAGGAGGATGAGGAGGAGGAGGAGGGCGAGGAGGACAAGGAGGGCCAGGGAGAGAAGGAGGGCGAGGAGGAGGAGGAGGAGGAGGAGGGAGAGGAGGCCCCTTTAAGCCCTGAGGGAGGCCTCCTGGGGTCTTCCTGGGAGCTTCTTCGGGGCCTCTGAAGGGTCGCCTTGGGGCCTCCTAGGGCCTCTTGCTTGGCATCGCTCGAGCGTGTGCATTTTTCTCGGCGAAGACCATGCAAGAGCATCCTGGATCATCGAGCAAAACGAAACACGCGCGACACCGAACACATGCACGGGAACTAGACGTCCGAGCGAAGGGCCTCTGGGGGCCCCATACGGGACCTCTTGGCTTTTGGAGGCCGTTTGGGGGCCTTCTTTGGGTAGTCGTGGGTCCCTCTTTGGGCGTTTGTAGGGCCGTCTTGAACGTCTATGGGGCCGTCTTGGGGGCATCTTCGGCTGTCTTGGAACCGTCTTGATGGTCTCCTTGGGGCCTGGATTCTGATCCGCGCTCCCGAGGCCTTTGGAAAAGTAAGTGCGAGAGGCCCCGAGAGCGTCCAGAAGCGCCCGTGAGCTCCCGTACCTCGGGGACTCGGGCCCCCTTGTTAGAAAGAGGAGCCACGTTCAGCAATGAAGACTGGGACCTCACAGGGAGCTTGGGACACTCCCCTCAGTGCCTCGCGGTACGGTGGCGGATTCTTGGTAGGCTTTCACGCAGGCGGTGCTGTGTTTAACACATCTCTGCGTGAGAGCAGCATTTCTCGTACCTCCACACGCGAGGCCACGTGCGAATTCAATCGAGGCCCATCGGTGCAAGCCAGTTGACGTGCTCACGATTGCAGCAGCACGCCACCCCTTGACGCGCACTTTGAAACGCCCACGGATCCCCCTCATTCCCCCCTCCAGGGGCTCATTTCGATTCCTCCGACTCGATTCGATCTGATTCCGATCGATCCCGATGCCGATCCGATTCGACTTGGCAATCCGATCTGGACTCTCGCGGTGGGCGCATCGTGCGGCCCCGCGTCGTGCTCTCTCCCGCTCCCCCGCGCACCTGGCGCGACTCCACGAGGGTGCGATCCGGCGCGGCGGCGTCTGGCGGCGCCACGTCACTGGCCCGGGCTGGCCTCACGCCATCTCTTTTTTTTATTTTATAGGATGTGGCTTTGCTCCTCTCGCTCCTCTCGCTCCTCACTGGATTGCTCCTCTCGCTTTTTATATGATGCATTTTTGCTCCTCTCGCTCCTCTCGCTCCTCTCTGGATTGCTCCTCACTCGCAAATATGATCTCACTGGATTTTGCTCCTCGCGCCGTTCCTTCTTTGTGTGGCGTCTTTTTGCTCCTCTCGCTCCTCGCTGGATTGCGGCTGTCCGGGCCTCACTCGGGGAGTGAGGCCAGGCTCGCAGAGCCGTGTGGGCACCCGCCCGCCCACACCGGGCGGGCGGCGCGCGCGCGCGATCCGGAGGTTACAGCAGGCGAGGTGGAGTCGCTGCACGCACGAAGAGGATCCCACATCGGGAAGTCTAAGGTATCGGGGGTGGATGGACCTCCTACCCTGACACGTCGAGTAAGGAATTGGCCGTTGTCGGTTCGCGAGAGGGCGTCGCGGCCGTCATTTTTTGCGGGTCCAGGTTCGTCGGCTTCGGTCCCAGGCCGTTTTCGCTAAGGGGAGGTTTGCTAAAGGGAGGTTTGTCCACCGCCGAGTGAATCCCACATCGGGAAGTCGAAGGCACTTGCAGGAAGGTGGTTGGTTTGGGGGTCTCGAGTGGCACGGCTTGGAGGGTTCATCACGGGCAGAGCGTGCAGTGGTCGACGAGAGACCACACGGTGCGCTGCACGCGAAGTGTGCGATGACTGCCCTGCACTTCCTCCACCAACCCTCCCTGCCCCACTCGTGCATCTCCTCCAAATCCTATTCCTGCGCACTGACTGATCTTCCGCCAGCTTCCTCTCCTAGCTGCTCCGCCCCTCTCCTCCCCCTCCTGTCGCCCCAACGTGGCCCACGCAGGCCAGGTCAGTTTACACTCAACACCTATAGGAAGGATGCGCTGCTTTATCAAAGCTACCCGTAGTCTCTTGCTGATTCGACCCATCCTGAGCCAGTTTTGACGTCAAAGAGGTCTGCATGGTAAATGGGACGTCCAAGGGTCTTGCATCCTTATCTCGCGTCTTACCCATGGACTGCGAAGGCCTCACGGCCAGCACCGCCCACCCCAACTGGGGGCGACGAAGACGACGACGCACGCGAACCCTCGTGGAGGCCCCTGTGGGCCCTGCTTGCCTCGGGACCCCTCCCCCGGGAGACCCCCCGCCCCTGCGACCCCCTCCCCTGGGGACCCCCCCCGTTTAGCGGGAAGGGATGAGAGGGACGGTGCTTCCTTTCGACCCGGTTGGAGCTCCCCCTGCACGATTCTGAGGGGCTCTCACGGGCCGTCTTGGTCGCAGATGGGGGGGGTCACAACGCTCGGGGGCGGCCAAGAGGGGGGTGATTGCTTGGGGGGGGTGGATATCTGGGCGGGGGCCATGATATCTCCCCAGATTTCGTGGCGCCTCCTCTTGTGTCAATACGTTCCTGCCCCCCCCTCCCTGGGCCGCGCACCAATCGCCGGCCATGACTTGCGCCCCCCCTCGTGGCCGCCCCCGAAACCCCCGGGACCCCTCCCCGAGACCCCCCCGGGACCCCCCCCCTGAGACTCCCCCCGGGACCCCCCCAGCGATTCTCCCAGAGTTCGCGCCGTCCACCCTTGGACCGGTCCCCGGGCCGCAGTGGCGTGTCTCTCTCTCTCTCTCTCTCGCCCCCCCCCGTCGGGGAAAGGATCAAAGGGACGGGGCCTCACTTCGATTCAATTGCGGCGACCTTCAATTTCCGTCTGGCTGGGTCGCTTGAGGCGGAGGGCCCAGGGAAAGAGAGAGAGAGTGGTGATGGCGGCGGCGGCGACGACGACGACGATGACGATTCAAACTGAAAATGGGAGCGGCGACGGCGACGACCACGACGACGACGACGATACAAACGAACAAAATCTCACACGCCGACAGGGTCGTCGGATTTTGAGATTGTACAGTAAGTTTTGGGGTCGTCAGGTCGTCGCCCTCATCCAGTCGCACTTCATGAGGCTGTTGGTGCTGGTATTTGTTGGCTCCTTCTCTCCTCCTTCTCCTTCTCCTTCTCCTCGAATCCTCGAGTCGTACTCGCACTGCGTGGGCGCCGTGTGGCGTTTCCTGGTACATGTCGTTTCCCCACCTTCAGGCACACGGTCAAGAGATCTTTCGGGATGCTTGCAGGGAGAGGCACAGCCGGCCCTTGCTCTTTCCGGCAGCAGCAGTTCGGCGTGTCGTTCGCCCCACTCTCATGAGCTCGGCTCCTCCCCCTCTCTTCCTCCTCGAGTCCTCTCGCACTCCCGGCGCCGTGATACTTGGAGAAGGGGGACGGTTGCTGTCCCCTGGCGATAACGGAACGGCCGTGACCGCGGGGGGGGAGGGGGCCGGTCAAGTCGCGATTCGCGCCAGCGCCGTTTGGGAATGCCCACGAGCGGCTAGTTCCCGGACGGCGCCAGCGCAAATCGTGGCGTGACCTAGGCGGGTGGAGCGGGGGGGGGACGGGGCCTCTCACGGGCGTTTTCGCGAATAATAAACATAAGTTTTTTCACCTGGTGCCCCCAGATCTCTCGACCACTTCTCGTGGGCACGTTCTTCGTCCCGGGTTGGTCTCGATTGTCTTGCCAATTCACCCCCCCCTGGGGGAACGAAATTCGAGGATTTTTTTGGATCGGAAAAGCCGATGAGAGTATTGCGGACTAGGCGTGCATCGTTCTTCATCTCGCACATCTAAGAGGCTCGAGAAATCTTACCAGCATCCCACTCGCAACCTTCTTGGCAAAACTCGATTGGCCGTGATTGAAGTGGCCAGTCTCACTTTGGTTGCACATCTCCCTCAAGACGCGCGCCATAATGTGCGGATCCTTTTCACGTAGAACCATGTCTCGGGCGGGTGGGTGGTGATGTTGTTGACGACGACGACGATGATGATGATGCTGATGTTTGCATGGTTATTGATGATGATAGTGATAAGGCTGAGGATGAGGATGATGGTGAAGGGTGCAACGCTCAAGAGTCGGTGTTTAACGTAACTGGTACGACCTTGTTGGTAAATTTCAGAAGGCGCATTGACGCGCGAGCCTCTGTCGTGCACAGTCATGCCTCTGACCAGTGGGTGATGCTGGTGCCGACGACAACAATTTCTTGGAGGGTGAAAGAGGGGGTTCTGCAACAGGTGGTCTTCAATGGGGGCTGAATGGCCCATGTATGCTCAATGTATCGCTCATGTATGTGATCGGGTACGATTGGCATCCAATGTTAGCGGTCATGGAGGGCCAGTCGTTCGTGCCCGCGCGTTGCCCGCGCGGGCAAACGCGCCGTCCATCCATTATCGTTCATGGGTGCGGGCGTTCTTGCATACTGCGCGTAGGGCGGCGAAGTGGAGTGCAAGTGTGTCTTGATTGTGCGATTGATGATCGCGTATGTTCCCAAACGATGACTTGTCGACCCCCAAGACAGATGTGGAATGGGCCCCGCGATTTGCCCTAAATGCTTCATCGGGTTCCCCCGCCGAACACAGCAATCGAGGATGTATCGCCCATGCGTGGCCCATAAAGACACCATTGCCGGGACCGTGCGCCTGACCCCCATTCTCACTTCCCAAATTCCAGAGATGTCGATGATGATCGTGGTGACGACGATAACGATTGCGACGACGCTAGCCACGGTGATGATTACGACGATGTTGAGTCTCTTGGCAAGCACGATCGTGATGATAAGGATGAGGATGATGAGGACGATGAGCGGGGAACCCACTTGTTTTCCATGATTTCAGCACCAGCGCGTGCGCAGAACATCGGGGAACGTTATGTTGAACACCCTTTGGCTGTTGACATATAGGAAAGCAGTTGGATAGGATATCCAATCGGATAGTAAGGAGATGGATTAGTTGCGAGGGACGGCGGGGGATATTAACACTCCCTGGGCTGGGATCATGTGCGTTGGTATCAAGGTTAACGGCGGAGCGAAACCAACATGCGATTGCATTGCCCAGGGAGTGTTTTTCTCCTGTTGGAGTCGGCATCGATACAGCGGAGACCCATGCCAAGAAACACCCTACTAGTCTCCAGGGTGCCCTGGGCTTGTTGGGTTTCGATGGTTTTGCTATGGAAGGCGTGACGCGCCCACAGTAAAAGTGAGTGGACGTCCTGGGGTCTCGGGGTTGGGTCTCTTGTGGAAGGTCTCGGGTGGTCGAGCCCCTACTGTGTCACGGCTGGGGCCACGACGTCGCCCAGTTGCCGTGGCCCCCTCGCCTCCTGGCCCCGTGCGTCCCCCGGCTCCTCCCTCGTCCGCGCGCGCACGCTGCGGGTCGCGTGGTGCGCGTCGGTCTCCTCGGCTCCCGCCGTCGAAAGCGGCGCTCCGGCCCCGCGCGGGGGCCCTCGTGTCCCAGCTCCCCCCCCCCCTGCTCGTCGATTTTCCCATGCTGGCTGCTTTTGCAGGCCACGCACACAGCAAGGGCGCGTGCCGTCATCTCCAGGATGCTGCTGTGTCCTTGCCTCTGCGGAGCGTCCTGCCGTTTTTTTTACTGCCCGCCCGCCGCCCTAGAAATGCTAACGTCTGCCTCCAAGGGTCATGCGTCCTTAGCACCCGTCCTGAATACACGTTTCGACTGT